TTAGCTCTTGGAGCCCTTTCGGTTGTCTAATGAACCTACCTACGTCCAATTTTTTTCTCTATCAAATCTACTACATATATTTATTCTCTCTCTCACACACACACGCACAGGGACCTGATAGCCGAGTGGACAGCGCTCTGGACTCGTAATCCTAGGGTGATGACAGAAACAAAATGGGCAGAGTTTCTTTCACTCTGATGCCCCTGCTACCTAGCAGTATATAGATACCTGGGAATTAGACAGCTGTTACTGGCTGCTTCCTTTGGGTGTGTATATGTGTGTGTGTATATTAAAAAAATGGTCGTTGATTGATTGACAGTTGAGAGGCGGGCCGAAAGAACAGAGCTCAACCCCCACAAATACATCAAAGTGAATACAACTAGGTGAATACACACATTCACAGGGTGGACAAAGACAAACTATTTAGCACGGGTGGATCACGAACAAGGGGACACAAGTGGAAACTTAGTACCCAGATGAGCCACAGAGATGTTAGAAAGAATTTATTCAGTGTCAGAGTAGTTAACAAATTGATTGCATTTGGCAGTGATGTTGTGGAGGCTGATTTCAAGCACAGTTTAAAATGTAGATTTGATAATACGTTTTTATGTGGGAGTTTTTCGGAAAAAAACGAGCTTCGAAACTTCTACTTGTTCAAATGGAAGTATCAGTCAGTTGAACACATGCGCCACCTCTGGTTTTATAGTCAGGTCTTGAGGGAAGAAGTTGAAGAGAAAATATGGTGATGAATTCCTTTTCGAAGCCTTTTAAAATAAACAGAAGCCCATCACATCTCTTTTTAAGCAGGAGAGTCTAGATGTATGGTAATAGAATTGGTGTATTTCGTTTCCTTGGATTTGTGGCACATCGTGAAATTTGCCTAACACCTTTAAATAAGACCGTGAACAATCATCTCAAATTATTGACGAGAACTCCATGACAGATGAAAATTTAAAGTTGTAAGATGCTTTACATTTCATATTATTTTAGTAATACGGAACTTTCTACAGGCACTAGCACCCACAAGCGTATTTAGCTAAAATATGTTTACCTTGCATAGAAGAAGATATTTTCATTAATCACTATTCCAAATGTGTTATAAATGCATTATATATAAAAACTATTGTCTAACCTTATGAGAGGACCAAATAACCAGCTCATCCGTGATACAGACATCACGTGGACTTTACTAACACCAAAGTATCTTGCCAACATGATCCACAAAATAGCTTTGAAGGTGCCATTAATGTGGTATTCATTTTCTTTCATGGAACCTTTATAGCTCAGTCTGCCATCATGATGCTATTGAAGTTTTTAATGCACTTAAACATAAAATAGGACTTTCCTTCACTTTCAATAATAGTAGTTGTCGTAGGAGCAGTAGTAGTAGTAGTAGTAGTAGTAGTAGTAGTAGTAGTAGTAGTAGTAGAGGTAGTAGCAGCAGTAGTTGCAGTGGTTAAAGCCCTGGCAGCAGAAACACCTGCTGTATTGGTGATAAGAAGTTTGGAGAAAGGTTGCAAGGACTCGAGCTCTTTACATTTTACGAGCGCCAGACTTTTCACTTACGATAAGACATCGTGTAATAGGAGTGGGAAGCCTTGTGACACAGCCTGAGTGGGTCGTGCGTGTGGGTAGGCACACAGGGGGAATGGTGCGAGCCTTTGCCAGAGCCTCAGAGTGGAAAAATGAGGGAATTGTAGAGAACGGTTGACTGATGACGTCGGGAATCGAGCCGGGAATACAGAGCCTTTTGATATAGAGTGTGGAATAGAGTTTAGAGTAGAGAGATGGTAATTCAGAAAGACTTATGGTGTCTTACCATGGTGGGGTCTTCTTTAATTGTGTAATGGTGAACACTTTGTAGCTGTACTATAAACTCCAATACAATCGTCACTGTCATATACTCAATATATACCTACCACACCTACCCCTAGTGATAACGCTATGTTCTTGGACACTCAGCAAAACCAGTACTTTTTGCTATCCCTCATTTATCAAAAATAAATACAAAAATATTAAGAACAAAAAACTCATTCAGGAATCCGCATCGATTGATGTAAGAATCAATCTTACATCCGCAAAGTTATCAATGCTCAGTATTGCACACGGGCACCACCTCGTCTCCAGGCTTGCCTCTGGGCAGCGTAGAATAACAAGTTCGCTGGAGAGTGCTACAAGCCCAGCCTGCAAGAAACATATAATAGTGTTGGCCATTATTGCCAGGAAAATAGCCAGTGCATTAGGTCGAAGAGCAACTCGCAATGTTAAGTGCAACAGTTGGCTATCGTTTGTCTCCACCGTCACTGTCGATACTCCTATTACATGTGTCTGGAAGGAAATCCACGAAATTGCTGGCAAATGCACACTGAACAAAGACTTCCCATTCCTCCCGATTCATTCCATCTATGAAATTGGTCATTTGTTGGTGTCCCAAGACATTTGTGAAAGCGCTTAGTGCTCATGTCTCTCATATAGTCACTGTTATCCACATGTCACCTACCTTTCAATGTAGAAAACATACCGGTGATTTGAAGAACTTTTATTTGCATCCATGCCCAAGTTTAATTTCCCAACGAACCTTCTAAATTATAACTTTTCAGGAACAGTCTCTAGTGAATCGTATTTTGTGATGTAACAGATCTTTTCTTCTGATTTTTCATATTATATAAGTACATTGTTGTTACCTGGGACTTTAATAGTTTTAAAGCGCCGACTTCTGATATGTGCCTGAAAAATTCAATGACAAATTTAAATAATAACGATTTATAATTGAACTTTATAGTATATTGGGAGTAAATTGTGTTTTAAATGTGTTTGTAATGTTAACAGGTGGTATGTGGATACCCTGCTATATAATTGCAATATTGCATAGTGTCATATTGGAAATACCGTATTGCAAGGTATTCTCTCCTCTTTCCCTCTCTTTCGTCCTTTCTCTTCCTGTCTTTCAGAAATGACAATAACACGCAAACTCTCTTAAACAAAATTAAAGCCTTCATATCCAATACACTAAATGCACCGAGAGTTAGAATGTGTGAAGCCTCGCCATCCATCCTATCCGACTGCTGAACTGAATCTCAAATTAAACCGCAGGCCACTCAGCTCACTTGAGGATTTCTGCCAATTCCGAGCGAAGGGCATCGCTGCCTCGCCGTACTGGCGCAGGAGAAAGAAACGGGGTAACACAACGCCTTTAAATAATCATTTTTATAATTGCACCAAGTTTAAGCAGGTTGAGAGACGCGTAGATATATAGCGTTCTCCTATAACTCCTTCTCAGCGAGGCGTTATAAATCCTGGTTAATTTAGAAATTAAATATTAAGATATAATGGGCCTTTGAGGCAAACAATGGTGAAATGATTTTAATTCTACAATTGATTGCAATGCACTCACATGGAGACACGCACACGTACGCATATGCAAGCACAGGTCTACATGTGCATGCTCATACACATGTAAATACACACATAAAATGAGAAGAGTGATGGGAGAGAACCTCATACCCTGGAAACGGATCTGATTACATTCTCGTGGTTTTCCGAATAATGGCGGTTAAAATTTAACCAATGCAAAATAAACTTATATAAGGATTTAAGCCAGAGAAAAGAGATGTAGAGCATTATGGGGTAAAGTGGAGACACATTCATGCATCAGTAAAGGAGAAAGATCTAACTGTATACATTAACTTCAAATTTAAGTCCACAATATCAGAATAGCGTCAGAAAGGGTATTCTTCAGAAACTTGGACAGAAAGAGCCTTCAGGCCTTGTGGACGTCTTCTCTGAGACCTGCTCTTGAGTTTGCAGCCACGACATGGAAAGTTAATTAAGCGGGTGACATTGCCATCATTGATGCCAGGAGAGAAATATATATACACATGACTCGAGTGTTATTTTGGAAGGATTCACCTTTATATTTGACTGTATGGCTGTCTGTCTTTCTGTCAGCCTGCTCTGAATATCCCCTCAGTCGCTCCGTCGAACCCCTCTGAATGTCTGAATGTCTCTCAATCTTTCTGACAGATCGCTCTCAGTATTTCTCAGTCGGTCTATCACAGAGTCATACTCACAATTACTCCCTCCTCCCACCACCAGCTTTCACGGGTCTCTGGCCAGTGCCTATTCCAGTGTGGCACTGTGCCAGAGCCTTCCTCTGTCCTCCATCTTTAAGAGATGCTATTCAACTTCGGACACATGAGAACGATCTTTTCGTGAGTGTCATCGCTCGTTCATCTTGCTGACGCTCTTTGAACAGTTAGAAGCATTATAATGGACGAAAGCTAAATGCAAACACATGAGGATAGCACTGAAGGTCTCTAGAGTTAGTGCTGAATAAATAGTCACGAGGAATTCTTCTATTACTATAGAGTTTTATTAACGCTCATGCACAGTCATAGAGCTCCCTTCACTGCTTATATGATTGAATGAATTAATGAATAAACTATTAGGAGAAAGAGTCAAGTCATTACAACTATATAGCACTAAGAAGGGATCAGGATAAGGATTTGGGACGGGACGGAAGGGGAAAGGGGAGACCCTTCTGGTGTTAAATATGTAAAGCCGTAGCCCTTATTAGCAGGAAATATCTCCTTACATTATCAATCATGACTGAAGGCAAGGTAACATTTGGAAAGGATATGCGTACAAGTAGCTGGGATTGGTTGGAGGGAAGGAATGGTGCCCAATCCCTTGGACCGTCGGGGATCGAACGCCGACCTGCAAGAAACGAGGCCTCCGCTGTACTGGCGATCCAAGTGGATGGACATGACTCAAACGAAGCAATATTTTGACCAACGTGATTTCCATCGCAGAAGCATACAATGGAAAATTGTTTAATGTTCTTGAAATTGTTGTTATATATTCTCAATGTAACTATTATTTTAATTATTTTGTTGTTAATTAATATATATAATAAATATATATATTCTTTTGTAGGTCATCGCCCCTTTTTTTTCTCTCTGCTCTCCCCCCCCCCTGGTAACTCTCTCTACCCCAGCAGACACTCCGACGTGTCGCAACACCAAGATGACCTACCACGGAGCGGCCAGGTACGAGCAGGTCAACATCCCGTGTGACCTCGACGCCTACCCAACACCTTTGTCCTTCCGCTGGACCTTCAACAACAGCGGCGAGAGCGTCGATATTTCCCCGGTAAGGCGTTGTTTGTTTATACTCCGTGTTCTCTCACATGTTTATAAGTTTGGAGTAATTCGCTGGTCTAGCAGTGTCCTTGCCTCCTGAGGAAGCTGGGATGGTAATTTAGGCGTTGACACCGTGTCTAGGTAAGTTCTGTATTCACTTTCTTCATGTATGTCGTGTTTTTATCTTTCCCTCGGTCTAGGAAGTCGTGGTCTCATCTTCACCCACTCCAAGTAAGTCATGTATTCATCTTCACCTCTTTCAAGTAGGTCGCCGCCCCCAAATTCGCCTTATGCAGGTAAGTCGTGTCCCCTTCTTCACCTTCCCCTGGTAAATCACGTAAGACTTCCCCTACACCTTCCTCAGCTAGTATCTTTCTTTTCAAGTACCCAATTAGCAGTCGAAGTTGTGCTTTCATTTTCTTTATTTAGAATGTTACGTTTGTTAAAGTTATAATAACATATATATTATAATAATATAATAACATTAAAGTTATAATTTACATCGACGAAATAAAATATAACAATCGTGGAATTTTAGTAAAAATGTGTCAGTATTTTCTGATATTAAACATATTGAAATCGTATCTCTAAATGTTTATTTTAGAACTGGAAATGTTTATTGGAAAATATTATGTTTGTGTGTTCCCCCTGCGAGTAGACATGATTAATAAACATATATAATTAAGAAGATAATGATACAGATATCAACATAGAATTAAGAAATTCAGTGAAAATAATTCTAAAGAAATTTGTTGATAAGTAATGAGACAGTTTGAAGATGGTCATTAGGACATTTCTCCTTGGAATGTCGAGTGTGTGTATATACTATTTGTATTGACTATGTTGTTCCTGCAGGATCGAGCTGTTAGCTCTTGGACCCCGCCTTTCTTGCCGCCAATTGTCTACTGTAATCACTCCTGATGGATTTATCTGTCATATGTACACATACAATTATGAAGGCACTTCGCTTTAAGCACATAATTTGGTACTTCATTCCATTTTCCGACAACGCGTAAGCTAAAAGAAAACTTTCAACATCTCTTTGTTGAAAGATACTTCATCTGTTTCTCATCCTTCCACCAATACCTTCGTGTTCTTGTGTGTTCTTTGAAAACATTTCCTCTGCTTCCACTCTGTCATTCAACGTAAGCATTTGTTATATCTGTATCATATCTCCCCTCTCCCTCCTCTTTTCTAGCAACGTGAGGTCAGGTTCTTTCAGTCTTTCATTATACCCCCATCCCTAGCAATTCTGGGACGAGCCTAGTTGCGAACGACTGAACCTTTACGAGTTTTTTGTTCGTGTTACTGTGGGCTCTACGCTGGGTCCGCATGCTCTAAGACTGATTTCACGTGGGCGGTGTACAGAGACCTAAATGCCCCCCTTATTAAGCTTCCTAAATGACGATTTGACTTTTGCTATTGTAGATTAGGCTACATATGTTATTCTATATATATATGCGAGTGGAATTATGCTTGGTGTTATGTTTACTACCAGGTCTGTTTTTCTAGTCGTTAGAGGAAGGTAGCTTCCCTTCATTTTGTACCCTCCATCTGGTCTGTCTCCTGTTCCCATTTCCATCATCTTAAACTTATTGATGGAGAAATTCAGAAGCCATTTCTCGGATCAAACCTGTAAATTAAGTCATCTTGGAATATCTTAAAATTTTCACTCGTCTTAAATGTTCTCATTACTTTTACAATATCTGCAAACATCGACTTATAGGGTTTCACTACAGTGATTATGTCATTAATAACATAACTGAGAAATAGTATGGGTTCCAGTACTGATCCATCAAGTACTCAGCTTGTTTCTCTACGGCTGTTCAACTTCTTCCTACCCCCTCTTTCGTCCTTCCTCGCTTTGACTCTCTGACTCCCGTCTGTTAAATACTCTCGTACCATGTCAGTCGTGTTCCACTTGCCTCTCAAGTTTGTGTGGAGTGGAAATGTTTCAAGGCTATTTTTTTTGCCAGTCAACAAAGAAGCGATCTGCCAACCTTCTGGGTCCTGCTTTATTATCTTTACTTAAAAATGAAGCTCCAGTTGGTTCGTTAGGCATAATCCCTTTCCCTGAAGCCATGTTGGTGCTTGTTTACATATCTGATCCTCTTTGAGCCTGTATGTGTGTGTGTGTGTGTGTGTTGTGTGTGTGTGTGTGTGGGAGTGTGTGTGTGTGTGTGTGTGTGTGTGTGTGTGTGTGTGTGTGTGTGTGTGTGTGTGTGTGTGTGTGTGTGTGTGTTTGTGTGTGTGTGTGTGTGTGTGTGTGTGTAGGTGTATTTATTATCTGCATTTAGTAATTGTGCCTGCAAAATCGAGCACAGATCTCTAGGACCCTGCTTCTGTAACCGCCAGTTGTCTAATTCATTGACTCGTGATCTATTTTTTTCTATTATAGAGATAACTGTTATAAATATATTAACTCTTTAATAACAGAGTTAATAATAACTATAATTATTACGAATTCCAACGTCTTAACACCTCTCTGCTTTTAAGAATCATACATATACCCATACAAATGTATCAGGTTGCACAAGGCGAAATTAATTATAGATAAGACGAATATATGGTAAGATATATATTTGTGAATTTCGGGTGATAATCTAGTCGGAATTGCGACGGGTAATGTCCTCACTGAATGGCAGACATTTCTCCCCCATTAGGGCAGGAACAGGTTCAAGGTCCCCAAATGTATGCGTGTGACCTGATTGGCACAGTTTTTGTATCAGCCCGCTATTTGGAGAGTGAAAAGGGGTCATATGGATGCAGAGGGGGACCTGTGAGGCAGCTCTTCGGCCTAGGGAGCGTCACTGTATTCTGAGAGCTTGCTGAATACAGACGTACACTGTAAGGGCGTCCTT